TCATTCCCAGCTCAGCAAAGGCCAGTAAAAAGGCAGCCTTTTTAAAACCAACTCTCTCGAGCCTCCCATGGATACCCTGTCTGTTTCCCAGCCTCCTCAGCTCACCACGATTCCACCTGCAGCCAGTCTAAGGGGGTTGGCAACTTCCGGTTTAGGGTTTAGGGTTTTTTAGAGAACCGTAAACCCTAAAACCTAAATCCTAAACGAGTCCCGTAATCTGTCATCCCAAGCCAAAACCTGTAAAATTAAGCTGAGACCCATACAGCCTGATCATAGCCCCACCTAACCTCAAATTAGAGTCCCATTCAAGGAGAGTTCCAGGTGAGAGATTATCAGTTTGGTAACCTCAAAGGAGGAATGCGTAGGCTGCATATCACCTAACTACCCTTGTACAAGGAGTACTTGAACCTTCGATTAGATGGGCGCGCCCACCCGGTAGCTGCTCACCTGAAACACTCCTTTATGCCCCTAACCCTAATCCCTAAACCCTAATCCCAAGCCCTTATCCCCCTAAACCCTAAACCCTTACAGCCTTAAACCCTAAACCCGCAACCCTCTAAAGCCCTAAACCCTTACACCCTGCCCCTCCCCACCTCACCAGAACGCGGGGCAGGGCGCGGAGACCGTAGAGCCTCCGGATGTGGCGCAGCCGCAGGAGCTCCGGGCCTGCTTTTGGGGGCTACGGGTCGGGGATGTATAACTACTATAGTATAATACCCTATGATATGGGGTTGTATTGGGATAATGGAAAATAAAATGGAAACTACTACAGTATATTGGGGGTTATATTGGAATAATGGAAAATCAAATGGAAACTATTATATGTTAATGTAGGGTTTAGGGTGTAGGGTTTAGGATGCAGGGTGTAGGGTTTAGGAGGTAGGGTTTAGGATGTAGGGTTTAGGGTTTAGGATGTAGGGTTTAGGATGTAGGATTTACGGTTTGGAGCTTAGGGTTTAGGGCTTCGAGATTAGGGCTGAGGGCTTAACATGTAAGTAGGGTTGAAGGGTTTTGGGATTGGGGCTTTAGGGTGGTAGCACGTCAGGGTTTGTAGGGTTCGGAGGGTTTGTGGAGTTTGTGGGGTTTAGGGTGTTAGGATGTCAGAGTTTGGGGTGTTAGGCTGTGGGGCATCTGGGGTTCATTCAGATTTGGGTAGGGGGCTTAGGTGCTTAGCGTAGGGTGTAGGATTTGCGGATACGAGTTTGCGTGTACTAGTAGGGTTTGGGGTTCGCGGTTCGGGATTTAGGGTCTCGGGTTTACAAATTTAAGCCCGAGGTTTGGGTGTTGAATATCCGCCCTAATGGCGTCTAGAAGTTCCTACATTCGAGCACCTGCTCTGTATTTTCAGAGTGAAAAGTCCCTGCCAAAAAAATCATCTGTCTGTGGGTGTAAACGGGATGAAGAATAGCATGCACGTTCCCATGCCCTTTCTTGCCCATCCATCAGCAGCTGCAGCGGCAACAGTCATGGCGACAAGAACAGCAGTCGCACGGGCACAAGGGTTCCTAGGAGTGAGTAAAAGGAGGAGAAGCTGGAGGAGGGCGAGGAGGAGCTGGCAGCTCCCATTAACTATATTGGGGTTATAATAATGGAAAATAAAATGAAAACTACTATAGTATATTGGGGTTATAACGGGGCAATATTGGGATAATGGAAAATAAAATGGAAACTACTATAGTATATTGGAATTATATCCCAAGAAAATGTCTAACACTGACACAAGGTGGGGCGAGCAGTTAGCTAGATAGACACAGCACTCAAGCTCCCCAAACATAACCGATACGAATTTGGTTCACAAGCCTCGCAGGGAAACCTGCATATCAGTGGACAGGCTGCTGCCCTGGACCAGGACCTTCAGCTCAAGGTCCAGGGTTCAAGTTTGAAAGATTTGGGATTCGGGGCTGTCACCTGCTTCGGATGCAAGGATTCAGATTCAGGCGTTGTAATGAAGGGTCTTCGGCTCGCGCTGATGCATGATAGTCCATGGGCGCAGTCATAAGCACGCCCCCTCGGAGCATTGGAATCTCTTACCTGTGACCGACTGCTCTATGGAAATCTGCTGGTCATGCCCAGTTTATTGACGCCACCCACTGGGTAGGCGGGTGAAAGTGCAAAGGGCCCAGAGATTATGGAAGGCTTGAGGTCGGAGTTAGGTCACGTCGGACCCCCGAACCGTGTTCCTAAGCAGGTCGTCCGTGAGGGCAGTGAAACGCTTCTACAAAATGCCTGTAATTCAAACAGACAACAACTAGGTGCGGTACTTTGCAGTTGTACGAAGGCTATATAATCCACCCACATCTGCAGCTTTGGTAATTCCATCTTGGTATCATTTCTACACAGCAGAGGGCGAAATCAGCAGTAAAGTTCGTTAAAGACAGGGGGTGGTGATGAAAAATGATCAGGCTGCTGGACAAGTAATGACGGTACAAAGAAGATATCTTATGCCACCTTGTCTACCCATGATTTGGGAACTGAGTATTTTGGGCCCTCAGTGGTGATAAAGGTTTCTTGCATCCTTTGTGTCAGCCAAACCAATCCAGACCCCCTACGCCCGCCACTGCCTCCCCCTGCCTCAACCCCCTACGCACTCACCCCTAACCCCCTACTAGCATGCTAAGATGCTTCAAAGAAGCAGCTTAGAGCCTGAGATCTGGTACGTTGGGTTCAGAGTTTGGGCTAAGCTGAGGGATTCAAGTTGGGGGCCACCTTTCACTAAATACATGGTTGTCTCCCCAATTTGACACCGTAAACTGTTGCTCACCAGTGTCCCTAAAGAACCCTTTCTACCCTCACAAAATACATACAGACATATAACCACGGAATAAACAAAATGCATGCTGGACCAAAAACCCACCCGCATCCGCAACTGCGTCTGAGCCCTTTATGGAGAATCTCTCATGTTGGGGGAACATGTCGCTGCACCTAAGAGGGGATAAGGCATAAGTTGCAGGGGGCCCACTTTCTCTGCGAGCTCCCCGAGCCCTAGACTCTAAGCCCCATAAACCCAAAAACAGAAATTTCTGGCAAGCTGCGGAGAAGATTAGGACGACAAGGACAACCTGGCGGTTTCCCATTCAGAGTCTTAGTTTAAGGTTTAGGGTTTAGCGGGCTTACGGGCTTAGGCTTCAAACTGGCGCATGACATCGCCACCAAAAATCCTTGCCACAAAACCTCCTCCTACTGCTACCAAACACCCCCCCCCCGACACCCTGATATTGATCATTCCTCATAAGAGATCTCATATTTTGAGGGACGTTTTAATCTTGGGTGTTGGGGGTGTTTAATAGTAGAATGACGGGATTACATCTCCAAACCAACATGCTTACATGCCTTTTCGTCATCATCGAACGGTTACGGTCGACATGCTTCGGAGTAAGGCAAGAGATTACGGAACCCAGGTTTTGACGGACAGACACATGGTTTTTAGTCTGCTGGGACTACTTAGAGGGTCACCGGGACGTCAAAAGTAGGTTGAGAATGGGGAAAACTCGGGCTAATATAGGACTTACAAAGATTACGCTACACTTACCTTGGCCTCCCAAGTATAGGGACCTGGAGCCGTGTAAAAATGGCGGCGCTTGGCGTTGCAGGGATAGAGATCTACTGTATCTCTCGAGGGCTTCCAAGTTATCGTCCTATGTTACCCCAAAATACCCATCAAACGTGTGCACTGAATCAGGTCCCTGTCCGGTGCCCTTGCAGGAATAGAAAGCTGGCTGCGACTCTTGTCTCTGAAGTCTGCAACCCACGCGTGACATGGGCGTGCTGCCTCCAAAGCACAGTCTGCTATCGCTTGCGCACTGCCTCAGTTGCATCATGTGGTGTAAGTGGAAGGCCGGAAAGGGTTTATGGCTCTGCCTACTGGTCCTTAAGGGAGAGTGGAGGAGTGGATCCTTATAACAATCTCCATATAATCCCCATGTATACCCCTTTAATAATACCTATACTCATCCCCCCCTCCCCCTTAAGCACCAGTAAGTCTGGCTCAGGGTTTCCGGTTTTGGCTTTAGATTTACACATACAAAGCAATGCAAACTCTGAGCCACAGAGACTGGGCCAGAAGATTTAGCTTGGATCGCGGGGGTAGTGCTGACTTGTGTACGCAACTTGTCATCACATTTTGGCCTTGCATGACCGAGGATGTGGTGAGCAAACACAAGGTTTAGGGTTTAGGGCCAGGGTCCGGCCTAGGGAACAGGAACTGAAACCTGAAGCATGATTCTTAAGTCGAACATCCCCAAGGCTTAGTGCTCGGGCATAATGACTTGGCCTGTCTTAAGATGTCAGAGCCGCGGAAAATCGGTACTACCCGAAGCATACTACCGGAAGCATTCAAGGCTGTTTGCACACTTGAAACGGCATTTCCGAACAAGGACCCTTGGCTTTCTGCAACAGATGCTGCGCTTATCTCCTCTAGTTTAGGGTCTGGGGTTTAGGGTTTAGGGTTTAGGGCCTAGCACCCTGTATTACAGCGATCCCTGCCTCCACCCAACAGCGATACCAGACAGCCCATGGGAAGCCCCATTACCATAGCAGACCCAATGTAGGTCTCCATAAGACCCACACGCAGGAACACATGGAAAAATCCCAACCTGGACAGCCCCGACAAGTCTAAACTCCTAGAATCCCCTTTCACAACCCCTATAATACTCCCCTATATAAATCCCCCTTTGGCACTGGCTCACGTGGTCTCCCTACCTGTTTTCACTTGCAATTGTCAAGTCCTTGTCCTGCAGGCCACAACGCTCTGTTAGAGCCAGGACTGCCAGACCTGCATTGCTGAGATGGAACAACGTTGACCCAGACCTTCGGCGAGGATCCAGAAAGCTCTTAAGGTTCAGGGTTTGGGGTCTGCTACTGGGTAATTTGTAGGGGACCTTAAGTGGATTGCCTCCCTGGATCTTCCCAGAACCCAGGGACAAGTCTGGCAGACGTGTAAGTATGGCATTGTCCTACGGACGAACCATCATGAACATGCGCGGCGTGCTCGGTGAAACGACTTACGGATCACTGAGACATGAATGACCCGGGCAGCCATCACGATAGACTAGCATGGCGGTGAAACACAAAAGAATGCCAACAGCCATTGTGCCTGTTGTGGAAAAGGTCAAGAGGCTGTTCACAGCGCTGCTGCAGCCTCCTAAGAGAAGCAAAAACACGAGGAAAATGGCCAGGCTCACAGCGTAGTCCAAGGCCCGTGTTGAGCTACAGCTAGCCCATCGACTGCAGAGTGTCCACATGATCTTGACGCACAACATGTTCCAGAAAAAAGTAACGCCAACCCCTAGACCAACGAACTCAGCGAGCACAGCGTCGACTGGCGCGCCAGCACGGATCATGGCCACAACAACATCGATGTTCATGCAGAAGGGGCTTGCGGCGATGAGAACACCATAACCTGACTTTTCCACTACCAAAAACAATAAAGGCTGACACTTTGCTTTAGAGGGCCCAACAAATTCAAAAGCCTACAGTGGGGTGACCCAGTGACTCAATGGGAGGTCAAGCTCGGAGGCTGCCAGCAACTCATCCCTCAAAGGGCCACGGACATACTCTGTGAAGGCTTCCTCGCTCCCGTACCAAGCAGTGATGGCCAACGATACGAAGGCCCTGTCTGCTGCAAGGCGGCATTCTACGTTCTTGAGGTCGAAAGTCTCGAGCGAGGCTTTGAGCGATTTCTCCTCCCTCATGAGCTTGCGGTTGAAGTGCACGAAGAGCAACAGGGGCAAAATGGCAAGGTTTGCAACAGCGACGATGCCATGGCCCGTTCGCACTGCAGTGTAAATCCCAGTGCAAAAGCCACTCGCAAGGATGAGAAGGAAGACTTGGCTTTCGACGAAGAGCGGCTTGAGGTTCAAAGGCTTGGACGGGTTTGCCTTGCGAAAAGCTGCGAGCTCGAAGACGCACCAAAGACCTCAAGACCATCTAGCTGCTTGGAACCAAGCATCCTCAACTTTGTTTCTCTACCCTGGACTGCAGACTAGGTTGTCGGAATTTTGTAGGCCACTTGACAAAGCAAAAACAAATTGTCTTTCTTTGCCTTGTCGTTAACACTCCTAAACCCATGACAACGTGGTGGATGTCTTCCGAAACCCAAACCCAACGACGAAGGTGCAGATGACTTCCACAAACAGAATTCTAGAGCAAAGGTGCCGATGTTGTACAAAGCTGGATTTAGTTGTGCAAAACCCTCAACCCTGAAGTGAGTGGGGAAAATGTGCGGATTGTGTAACTCATGAAGAATTTGGTCCAGGGCTTACTGTATGTAAGCTTAAGGCTTAAGGTGGCAGGGTGGGGGAGGGCATGAGAGGCGTCTTCAGAAGCTTTTACATTCGGAGAACCTTGTGAAATCTTTCTGCATCCTATTCCCTGTGCTCCGCATATACCTCTACGTAACCAAGGATAATTTTTATACAGCTATCAGGACCCTATTACAATTAGAGATGACAAACCGGTTTCCAAGAGTTAGGGTCCTTGACCGGTATAGGGCTGTGTAGAGATCTATACAGTTCGGGGCTTAGGAATACGCAGGGTTTAGAATTCAGGTTTTCCATAAAGATCCACTTTAGAAGCCCTTTTACTAGAGCTCTCATACAATGGGATGTATGTTGGGGACCCCCTCCTTCCGGAGGCTACCAAATAAAGACACACATGACATCCACGCCTTTGCCATTCTCACGCTTCTTCGACGTGAGTTGTTGGTCTTCCTTTGTATTTGATTGTCATGGCTTAATAATCGGATTGCATCTTGACATTCGATGAACACCCTGCAGGTCCGTACCTTGGGGGTCTAAACCCTGACACCAGCGCAATGGTTCGTCGCCCAAACCAGCGTTGCCTTGCTGCAGTTTAAACCCTGTGCACGAGTAATAAAGGGCTATTAGCAAACCCAACCTGTATGATCAGGACCCTCTCAGAATTTCACGACGGTCATAAGGTTCTTCTTTGGGCACTTGGGGAAACCAGAATCCCGGTATTCTTGATAGACGCAATTCGTGTACCCTCTAATTACTTGAAATCAGTTTCCATTTCATTTTCCATGGTATTTGCCATTTGCTCCCCCACTCAGCAAGACTAACCCTCCTTAACCCTCCCTCTGGAAGAGAGGACTCCGCGGCAGGTTTCTGCAAAACCTATGAAACCCATAGCCCGCAAAAATCGCAAGCCTCTATCCTGAAACCTTAAGTCCTGCAAACATTACAACCCTAGAGCTGTGTGCTGCTTATACCCTGTATAGCAAGTGAAACTGACATCTGCAAAAAAAATCCAGGGGTGGAACTTGAAAATGCAGAGCAAATCATGCAAGTCCACCAAGCCTTGACCCTTGATACGCTACTTGACCCCTTGCCAATAATCGAGGAGCGGGTCAGATAAGGTGGCGACCATAGAACACGCATCTCCTTCGAGACGCTGAGGAAGCCTCCCAACCCATATACACCGCGCTGCTTCATGGTCTTGTCTGTCTGATGAATGCTGACCACGTCAAGGAAGCATCTTGGTGAATAGCGTGCGCAGGTGCAATATGGAAATAGGAACAGAGAAATGTGCAGTGTCAGGGTGACAGTGATGTAGGTCCATGGGGCGAAAGGACAGGATGCTTTGAAGCCAAGGACGTTCACCGGCCAGGTTAACGACGTCATTGGCAGCGTACCAGAGGCAGCGAGGAGAAACACCAGAGCCACGAAAAACGCGCAGTTCGCAATCGCCATCCTCCACCCGTACTGGAGCAGTAACGAAAGAAACTTCCTGCTACCTGGTGTTTGCCAGGTGTGCGAGAAAAACACGTCGAAGCTCTCGACAGGCTGCGACTTGCTCCATAATTTTGTCTGAGAAAGGCTGTCCAGATCTACAGGTGAGGTTTGCCATAGCTGGCCGAAGTTGCGGAGAGTGACGGCTATAGGGATCCCCTGCATTATCGCCCTCGCCACATCAAAGCCGATTGCTCTCCGGACCATCGGCAAGTCTGCGCTCCCTGTCCCCATAGCCATCATCTCCAGCTCGCTGCTCAGGGAGCTGTGGCAACTCCGGACCGAGGTTCGGGGAAGTGGATACTCTGACCTTCAGGTAGGGCTCTCCAAACTGATCTTTGCTTTACAGTTACGATGCCTCACAATGGACCCTCCCTTCAACGAATAAGGAAACACAGATGTGTGTGTATATAGAATATATAACCATATATATATGTGTATGGTTGCGCCCCGGCCCCCCCCGTCCTTCACACCAATGCACACAACAAGCTTGACTGCATCTTCTTTCCATTTCCCCCCTCTCCCCCCCGTGGTGCTATGGGGTGCTGGCACTTGTGGTTCTCCAGCATTCTGTTTCTTCTGTTTCGGTTACAATCAAAGATGTTTTGGCTTGCTGGTTGATGGCTTGCAGGTGGTCACCCCCACAAATGAACACAACAGGTTTGATCGATCAGTGGCTGCAAGCATGAACGGGCTTTTGGCGCCTGTGGTCCGCAAGGGTGCTGTTTCGTGACTTGATGACAATCAAGCCTGGTTTGGGCTCGTTGCTTTATGACGTTCCCCTCTTCTGGGTTTGCTTTGCAGGTGGTTAATCGATCAGTGGCTCCAAGCCTTTTGGCGGTACGTCTTGATCGACAATGACAGCTAAGAAGATTGTGACCTGGATGCGCACCATCCCTGTGACTGTAGGCACTTTTAAGACCTGCGACAGCAAAAACCGTGGCTGTTACGATGGCGCCTCCAAGGCTTCTCAAAAACGAGGACAGTTACGAGGATCGCGAGCTTGACACCCACCAGCCCTGTGATTGTTGGCACTTTTGAGCTCTCCGACATCAAAAACGGCGACAGCTAAGAGGATCGTGAGCTGGACACCCAACATCCCTCTGACTGTCCTGAAAATCATTCTAGTCATAACAAATATTCAACTAGTCTTGCCAACGTTTTCCATTGGTTTGTCATGGAAACTCATGGAAAAGATTGGCCTGATCAAGGTGTTCCGTCATGTTGGTGAATTTCGGGGAATCTCATTACTGCTCCAGGGTTTTCATGAAGACAGTCAAATTCATGGACACGATTGGTTTGGCTAGCCCTTTCCGTAAGCTTTTTTTAGATCCCGGAATCGTAGAATCTTGCAATTTTTGGATGCCAAATATTAGAAAGTATTGTTTTGAAGATTCCGCTAAAACAATTTGGCTGGAATCCAAGATTCCAAGAAAAATGTCATCCAGAATCTTAGAATCTTGGAATGATGGAATCTTGGACTCCAAATACAAAAAAATCGATGTATCTAGTTTGTTTACATATTTCGGAGATCAAGGGTCCCAAGGTTCCAAGAAAGAGTCCCTAGAACTCTTGGATTCCTTTTAAAGATTCGAAACTAGGGATACTTACTACGGGCAACAAGGGCTTTTCAAACAGGATCCTCACTAGGAATATTTCTTGAAGACTTTGATCAAGGATAAGGCTCATGAGTACTGCCTGGTTCTTGTCATTGTAGCTTTTATTTGGTTCCAGCCATTTTAACTTCTCGATTGGCGTCCCTGTTAGAACTCCTCATTGAGAGTTCTCATTAAGGATTTTATTGGGGGGATTCGTACTGCGCACAATTCAGTGGCAATGCAAGGCCTATGTGAGATCTTTGCTACGGATCCTCATTTCGAGCTGCTTATCTGAGAGTTCCCACTAGAGGAGTGGTAACGCAAGCCTAGTTGAGGTCCTTGCTAGGGATCCTCATGGTTCACAGTTCTCACTGGAAATCTTCATTTAAGAGTTCGTATAGCGGCCACCTGGGATGCAATACAATGCCTATGTGGAATGGTAGTACAAGGCTTGTGTGAGGTCATTCTGGGAATCCTGATTCCTCATTGCGAGCTGCTGTCAGAATTTCTCATTTGAGACGCTATGACGAATTAATATTAAGGCTACGAGAGTTGCAATACCAGGCCTATGTGGAGTGGCAGTACAAGGCCCATGTCAGGTGCTTGCTGGGCCCTTTAAGGAGCTTAGAACATAGCTCATATGAGGTCCCTGCTGGAGATCTTATTCCTCATTGCGAGCAGCCTTTAGAAGTTCTAGAAATTCGAATTACAGACACATGGCTAACAGCACAACACCTAAATGGTTGTGTTGAGTTGAATTTATTATGCGGATGGTTCACAGGTTACGCACGGTTCCAGAAGTCCGGAGTTCCAGAAGCCCAGACTTTCAGAGTTTCCGATTACTCTGGAAATCATACTCATACTCTGAGAAGCCTGGCTTTTGGGAATTCTGCCATTCTTGGATTCTGGAACGTGGAAGTCTGGAATTCTGGAAACCTGGAAATCGGGTGACATGGAAATAAAACTGCTTCCGAGAGGTACCTTTTTCACGGCGCATGCATGTGTTTTTGTTGTTTTTTCTGGTTTTTTTTGGTGGTGGCGTAGCATATATATATATATGTTATGTTATGTTTACGTGGGATCCCATTTCTCGGAAACAGCCGCCTACCAGCACTCTCTTTTGAGGACGGGGTAGGATCCTCGTCCGCCTGCTGCGCTCCCACAACCTGATTTGCTTTGAGGGAATTTCATGTCAGTTACCATTTTCTGGGTATATAGTATACAGTGAGCAATGGGGTTTAGGGTTTTGGATTTTAGGATTTACGGTGTAGCCGTTTCCTTATTAAAGCAACTTAAGTTAAGCTCCTTAACAGCAACCCAGCAACTTCCACAATGGGCACATCGCCCTCGGGTTTTTCACAGCAGGAGCTGGAAGCGGAACCCATGCCCAGGTCCAAGGCCACGTCCCAAACAAGCAACCCTGAACCCTTAGAATCATGCTCCCGGATCTTGAAGTCTCATGGGAAAGAAGATGGTAAGTAGCAATCTCAGGTTCCAGATGCTGGCCTTTGATTTTGAAGCCCTCAGGTGCTTATGAAGTGGATATTTGAGCCGCTCAACGTCTGTTCAGGAAGCGCCGGAAAGGTCGTGGCCCTGATTGGCACTTGGAAACTGAGATAGATAAAGTTTCTTATTGAACTTCGAATTGCGCTACATAAGCTCCATATGGGCTTTCGGTTTGTATGTCTCTCCACGGGCAGCACATCATGGGGTTGCATGTTTCTAGCTTATGTTCCTGGGTCTGCAGGCTGCAGGGCTTGATAAACCTAATAGTAATAAATATAGAAAATAAAGATGTCGATGGTAATAGTAGCAATATTAATAGCAATAGCCATAATAATAGCAATAGTAATAGTGATAGCAAAAGGAATTAGACAGGAAAACAGTCGACCGGCAACACCATGCGATCCAAACACCGGCTTATGATTGTGTGAGGATTCAGAAGCATTTCAGGCTTTTGTATGCCGGACCCTGAGACAAGAATTTGAGGACTTGGGACCTCCCGGAGATAGCAACTATAACGACAGTCATTTTGCAACCAAAAGAAGCATCTGATAAGGATGAATAATATCACACTTGAAGATTTTGGCAGCATGGGGCAGCTCGCACATCATGACCATCATTTGGTGACAGCGAAATGGACTGATTCGGTTGTAGGAGCCACTAATCGCTACACGCCAAACCCCGGGAGCTTTTGAAGGATTGGCAGGCTATATACTAAACCCATAAACTCATGCACACCAGCACGGCATAGTGATGGTTGAATGCGTTTGCTTTGGAAGGGGACCCTGGATCGCTGAACATCGACATAATCTGCACGACATTATGAGAATTTTGGTGTTAGTCTAGCTGTGTCAGAAGTCTGGAGGCAAACCTAACAAGATGGAGAAAAGGTTCGAAATGTCTTTCGATTAGGCCGAATTATGGTCTAGGTCTTGACGTTTAGGGTTCGCATCAACTGACCTAAACAACATTTGTCATGTCCTGAGCTTATGAGGAGATGTATGCGGTGGAGGGGAGGGGTGATTACTTTGAAGAAAGAAAGTGAAGCAGGTTCAAGTTGCACAAGATGTCCCCTATGTAGAATTCCTAAATACAATGTCTAAAAGACTATGATTTTGATTCTTGGGCCCACGGGAGATCATCCAGAGATCTACGTTGCTCCCTAAGACTTCCAAATTCAAAATTCAGGGTCGGCCCCTTGACGGTTCAAGTCTCTAGTGTAGCATGCACAGAAGAGCATGCCCAAATGATGGGGACAAGTTCTCTTTATTGCCACTGTAAGGCTCCAAAAGTGGAAACAAAGGAATAGATTATAGAGGTTTTATATAATAATACTCCCTTATCCCTTACTAAGAACCAATAAGCAAACCGTGCCGTGATGCAAGAACCGTTCAGCCGGAAAATCTTTGGCAGGCTGAGTGTCCTTGGTAGCTTCCTGACTTACTTGACGGCCAGGCCCCACTTGCATCAACTTGCTGGGGGGTTCAGTAGGGAGTAAGGGAATACATTATATAGGGATTATAAAGGGATGGGATTATATAGGGATTGTGTATAATAATGATTATATAGGGATTATATTCCTTTATTTTTACGAACCACCAGTAAGTCAAGAGTTTTTGTCGCTTAGGTTCCTGGAATGCAACCATCGGGATTAAGGGTTTAGGGCATAGGTTGGGCACTGCCCCCCCCTCACTAACAGTTGGACAATAATTATAATATGGTTCTATGTAGCCCTTAATAGGACCCCTAATATAGACTGTTTCTGGGAGGGGGCAGTACCCAAGGCATAAGGCATGGTCTGGAATGGCAGGATCCTCTTGCCAGATGTCTTGGTGCGATCGATGAAGCCCTATCAAAGTTCGAGCAAACACAAATAATCTTGTCGTCAGTTCACTAAATATGAGGAATCCCCTCCCCTCAATAGACAAAAACATCCACCTAATAATAGATAACTCCCAAAACAATTCCATCATGTCTCAGGGGGAATCTTTAGTATTAGGAGGGTAGAGAGGTTTAGTGTTAAAGGAGGCAGATGAGACTGTGGTGAATGCGCTGACTGCCTGC